TCATTTTCTTGAAAAAAACTTGTCGATATCGAAGCGATCGTTATTTTTTCAGAAACTGGTTTTAATATCAGCTTGAGTTTACTTATTTCAAATATACTTACATGGCCTTGCGCCCCATAATATTTGAGAAGAGATCCAAAACAAGTGCCGGGATATAATTTAAGATGTAGGTCATTGTTTCGACTATTAACTTGTTCTTATGGGAATGGATGCTTGGATACCATACCATATACTTTGTTGGCAGTTGTATCGAGTGTTTCAGTGTAAACTTTAGATAGTCGCGCACCCTAAGGGATAGAAGCGTGTTTGATTAAACAATTAAGTTTGATATTGAGCACAGAGGTAAATAGTATGCTTGTTCCCCTTTCATTTTTTTCCTGAGTGTAATAATAACATTGTTAGATGTTAGTAGTTAATTATAACATTTTTAGAATTATTTCGATCACAAAATGTTTAAAATAATTTTAATTATAACATGTTTAAAATAGCGATATGTTTTATATTTATTTCATTACCTTATGATGTTCTTTGAAGTGCAGTTATATATTTTAATGGAATTATTCTGTTGCATTGACATGTGCCACGCGGCGCATATCAATGTGTCTATAACATAGTCTACTGGTACAATTTCAACAGCTATATCTGGGTCTGCCGCGATTGTCTTCAAGGTACCTTTGGAGATCTCCATCATAACACCTATGGAATTTAAACAATTTTTTTGTCTACATGCAGTATATCACATATTATATATGTACATATTCACGTTGAAATTATTAATAATTAAAAATCTGTTAGTAGCGATACGTAAGGGAAAGTAGTTTAATTTGGACCGTTTCTTAAATTGGACCATAACTCTTCTTTATGTATAAATTTCTTTTGACGATATCTTTTTTAGCATAGAATTAAAGTTTCTATGCCATTTAATAATGGCACTGAAACAAAAAGCTATATAATAAATAATAATTTTAGTCTGATTTTTATTTTATACTCGCGTATAGTCCACGTTATTTTTATTTTCATGTAGTTTATTTCTACAGTGTCAAATAAAAATTTTATTTAGTTTTCTTTGGTATGCCGTTAAATCAGAATTTATCTTATCAAAATTGTTTTTTACAAGTTTATAGTATGTAAATATTACTTGTGGTACAAATAAACCACATTGCATAATTTAATTTAATTGATAACCATTACATAATGTTTTACTTATTTTTTTTGCATGTATGTATTAACAATAATGGTAAGATTGTTCTCAATTTTTTCTGCTCGAAAATATCAACATGTTTTAGATTTATTTGCTTCACTCCTTAGTCTATAACATCGTTTCAGATTCGTGACGAAAGTTTTAAATTGAATTTGAGAAATCTAACAAGGAGTGGGCCAGATATAAAAATCTGTTTTTGAACGTATGTATACATATGTAGAAATGAAAAGCCCTTATGACTTTTTAACAGTGGTGCTCCGTTTTCGAGAAAAATGAATTTTAAATTTGTGTGTTACCATAATAAGACGTTAAATAATATTATAATAATAACATACAAGTTACTTAAAGATTATGATTCAAAGAAAAACAAAGAAAAACGGACGAAAGAAAAATTCCAAGCATAGAGATTTGAAACGATACCTTGTTGTAATAGACTTCTTCTAATCGTCTTATTGCAGTAACACACAAATTTAAAACTCATTTGTTTTGAAAACGGAGGGCTATTATCAATCATATCAGCCGCGCGAGGGCTTTTCATTTCTAGATATGTAATATAGCACGCATAGAGCTTCATCCAAAAACAGATTTTTATATCTGGCCCTCTCCTTGTGTTATTTATTGTTTTTAAATATAAATTAAATATTAGTTTCCTATCATCAATTGTTAACCTTTGAAGTAAACGTAGACCTAGAATAAGCATCAACATTTTTTCTTTTTCTAATAAATTATTAACGATAAAATAGTTATATTGATTATAATTGATAATAGTTAAGTGATCTACTACAGAGAATTTTCCTTTACAACATCGGTGCATCATCATAATTCAGAAAGATTTTTTAATGTTAGTTATTCAAAATTAAAACTAAATTTGCAATTTTTTAATTTTGATTTTTGTTTTATATTTTCATAGAGAATTACTGTGCAAACGTTCAGAAATATCTGCTCACTTGTCGATGCATGCTTTAGATTGTAAATAAATATTTCAGAGTTATCGTCTGTTTTATCTTTCTCGCCAAATTGTCGGGATTGTACCTAAGCGATTTCATAGTTTTTAACAGTAACGTAATGTTTAACATACGTATGCGACTCTTATTTTTGTATTTGAAATAAAACGCGTTCGTTTCCGTTTTGTAGTAAATACCTGCGTGCATTACCTGTGATCCCATTCAAATTGTCCACCCATCCAGGAAACGGATCTTTTCGCGCCGCTCCTACAATACTGGGTCTGACTATAGCTACAGGCAGTTGCGTTGCTCTTGTTAATAACAGCTGCTCCGCTAAATTCTTTGTAAACGTGTACGTGTTGGGATGGTTCTCTAAAATCTTCTGTTCGAGTATTTCAATCGTGCTATCATCCAAGTCCTCGCACATGTTGATCACAGTAGAAGGCTGGACCTTTGTGCTATAAAGTATTAAAACGAACGTGGTCGGATTAACTCTGCTTTTTCTACGATAAACAATGTTTCATTTCATTGTAAAGAAAATACTCTTACTATCAGTTGACAATTGGTAACTGTTTTCAGCGTAGCTTTAATTAATCAATTTCTAGTTTAATACTTGGCAATTACTCATACTTAGAATCAGGAATGATGTATAAATTATCTTAGAAACAAAAGAGCTAGTTTCACTGCCAGAATATTGTTAATATTGAATAGAAATTCGTTTGGAAATGGTTGTGCCGTTTTCAACGTCAATTTAACCATACAAATCTCTATAGAACGCTTATTACGCAAATAATAACCTTCTAAATTTATTATTGATTACCAGAAGACAGTCTGACGAAAGTATAATTTCGCGTGTGCACAAAGGAACGATTGAGTCAAATCAAATGAATCATGGTGTGCGTGTAGAAAGACAGACGCGCAAGGATGAAGACAGATCCAATCATTGCCATCGGCGTGGTTTTCTGAAATGTCCTCCATTCAATGGTCAGCTGAGGTACTTACGTATAAACGGCTTCGTTGATTTCCTTCAAGTTCGCGTTACTGTAGGCCGTGCTAACGTGGATAAAGCTAATCAGGTTTTTCATGCTTTTGCACAGATCGATTATTTCATTCGTGCCCTTCGTGTTCAGATTGACGGCCACTTTTAATGGCTCGTCAAATCTCACGGTGGCTGCGCTATGGAATACTATGTTCACTTTTCGTATCAGCGTCTGTTTGTCCTCGGGTAAGAGGCCAAGGTCTGGCATAGTCACGTCGCCCTTTATCGGATGGATCTTCTCGAACACGGACGGATTTTCCACTCGGAGTCTATCGAAAACCTGTCAATAGATTATTCCTATTGTATGTAAAGTAAGCAATAGTAAATAGAACAATAATTATGAGTGATTCAAATAAATAATATATGAGCGAATAAATAATAATCAATACTGTTATTGACATCATTAGTATTTCATTAATCCAAGAATATTTCGCACAAGCTTTTATTTCTTGAGAATTTAGAAATAGGAGTTAGACCACTAATATTTTGAATCACTCGTATATATTATAGTAAATCACATAAATGTATAATGTATTACAGAAATGTAATAATAATGAAAAGAAAAATGTGGATACGAATAGACTTTCCCGCAAGTTCACTGTTGAACTGTTTGAAAGAAAGAAAGACAATAATGCTGAATGAAATAATATGGTGGTAACCAGATGAAAAAAAGATTACGGAGTTTTGTAGTAGCTGCTGCAATCGTTGATCGACCGTTTGGCCTTTTTTCGGGCGGATCAATATAAAAATAGTAGCTAGACGGGAACAAGAGCGTAACAGCTTCTCCACGAGAGCTTTTCCTAAAAAGCCGGTTGCCCCGGTGATCAGTATCACCGCGTCCGCGTAAAACGCTTCGATGGAGTTTTGAGGGATACATCTCTCATCGTTTGTTTGTTCTAGGTTCGTTTTTATGGCCGAGGTGGTCATCATGGTAGACATGTGATCCAGCGAAGACATTTGATCGGACAATCTGCAATAAAGAGAGGAAAAAGAGAGAATAGGAAATAATTAACAACTGAAATGTCCGGGTTGGATAGAATTTCATCTTTTTATAAGCACCCTCAGTAATTGAATTTCTAGTTTTATTAATATTCTGACAATCTACCTACTGCCAACTGGTTGCTACTTTCACGTTGTTAAAAATTACAAATATACATTTAAGACAAAGTATTTTAATTAATCATTCACTTGTTACTGTCTGGTTATTATGTAGTTACATTATTTATATTATTATTTATATAAGTTTTATTTAAAACATTACTATTAAAATGATTAAACTTAATTTTCTATCTTGTAGTTACTTCAAATACTAATAAGCAGCTATTAATGAAGTTGGGTAAGTGTTATGGAACAAAATAGTTCAGTTTTTTACAAAAGTGTCAGTATAAAATCACACTCTGATAAATAAAACAGATTTGGGTGACAATTTAATGAGAAAGAAACTGTTTTTTATTCGTCTAGTGTGAAACTGTAACGGCTGAGACGTTTAGTATGTCAGAATGAGCTTAACAGCTTTAAGGGATTTCTTTTTAATCCTATCAGGTAAATACTTTGGAGTACGTTTCGCGTACAGCTCGGTAATCTCGACGTTTGGCTTCCCTTTTATTGAGGATCGATATCCATGAATTGTTAAGCGTTTGAACACCCATATATGGTTCTCACTTTGTAAGAAATTATAATTTCCGTTCTTACATCTGTCCTATAATAATTGCACCGAGAATGTTCACGTAATTTCCATAGATGGAGACTTTGAAAAATTCACTTGGCGTCTTATATTTAAGAGAAAATATAATCTAAACAATTAAATTCTACAAACATAATAGTTAAATTGTATAATCCAGTCGAAATAAAGAAATCACGGAAGTTTCTAACTAATATAAACATTTGGCTTCACTACTTCCAAAAAGAGTTTGAAGCTTCTGCTTGAGAAGTGAGCATTTAGAAATGTGCAATTGGAAATGGATTAGGTAAACGATCACAGCAACGGGCACTTCGAAAGAGAAGTAAACACCGTTTGACAATTACAACTTTCGAGCTATCCTCGCGACGGACAATCCTTTCAGCAGAAGGCGGGTTTCACTTGAGAAAAGCGACACTTGTTCGCGTCATGTAATGCTTCCTTTTTCTAGGACATGGTTACCTTGTTCTAGTTTCTGTTAATTAACGTAAATTGATCGTTTCATTTAAAACACAAACGATACTTGCAGAATAAAATTGCTACAACATCACTATACTCTATTTGATAATATGTTGGGGAAGAGACATGATAAAAAGGCATACCTATATTCACATGACAACATTTTTATCTTTTTTTGTACAATGTTTAGTGAACTTTTTGAGTTTTGAAAGATTTGGGCACTAAAGTATCTTCAGTTGGTAATTACGTGTTGAAAACAAGAATTATTAACCCTCTGCAGCAGAATGTCGTTGTAATGACGATTTCGAGCTTTGATATTTAAAATCGAAAGTTGCAAATGAGTAATTTGGTTGTTCAAACAATTCGAGAATTTGTGCTGTTCCTCCTTTTTAGTATTCAAAACTTCGATACATAATTTAATTTCTTTTGGAAAGAGTTGTTAGAAGTTTAAAAAATTCTCATCTGCAAGGGGTTAATATTAGAATCGCCAAATGGGTTTAAATGGTCAATTCATTTTGAGTTTCTTCTTTTATAATTTTTGTAAAGATGTGTTGTTTTGATAAATTTTCAAATAAATTGATTTATTAGTGTACATTCTAATGCATAAATCAATCGAAACTTTAACAGACTCACTTTTCTAATTCGCATAAGAAAATACATATCAGGCAATTTGACTGCCAATATTAAATACCTGTTGGTTTGCATACTGCTAATCTTGATGTGGAGCATACAGAGATCGATAACGTTTTACAATAGGGGTGGCGAGATTATTCACAGAACGAAAAAGTATAACACCATTAAGAAGGAATTGATCGCTCTGTAGTTGGACATTCTACATAGGGTGTTCCATTTTAATTTATAAATGCCATTACCTCTGAAGTTAAAAAATTCCTCGAATGCATGTTTTCTGTTTTGAGGGGGCTCTCCAAGTGGTCGTGTGCATGAGATACATTAAGTTTAAAAGTGCACCGGGGCAAGGATAATCGGTCGCACGCTCCACCTCGGCTCGCGACTCGGCCAATAGCAAAGATATGCCGAAACCGTGCCTTTATAACTACCAAGCCGAATGTCGCGAGTGGACGTCTTCCCTTGTCTCTGTGCACTTTTAAACCTAAGGTCGCTGATGCAATTGTGGGAGCTGTACTGTAATTTTTCTTACATCGATCGACGTACCAGGTCACTCTCTACAAAACAGTATTAATCCGTCTACGTCGAAAAGCTGTCAAAACAGAAAAATAATTGCGTTTGAGGCATTTTTTAAATAATGAATCGTTCCGGAAATAATTGAACTTATAACTAAAGTGGAACACCCTATGTAGATATCGACCAATCTTTCATTCTATAACCTACATTCAATCTATTTACACATGTCATGGACGGAACGCAACGGGTAGTTTTCGATATTAGCTGGCCACTCCACGGATCGAAGATTTGTCCCCGAGTCATGCGATATCCTCAATACTCAATTCCAATGATTGTGTATTGAATTAAACATCTCATAGACGAAAGTTTGAGTAAATGGAACGGAAATTATTTGTTCAATTATTCATTTGAAGGAAAGTCATTGTCGCTATGTACATAAATTATTGTCACTTAGTTCTTCTTCTACCTTTTTTAGCAGTTATTTAATTTTGGTGTTGCATCGTATGGCAAAGAAAACGCGAAAAATTGTATAGTGTATGAAGAACTTTAATGTAAAACAAATGATTATTATCAACACAAAATTTTTACAGAAAATTACGTTATTTGCTTTATCTCAATTAATGTTGTATCAGTAATAACGGATTCTCACTCGATTTAATCGAGAAAGTATTATTATATTTTAAATAATAAAATATTAGGCCAACAATGTATTCCTGAAAAAATACTACTTTAAAATCACACAAGAAAAGCATATTTCGTAGCTTATGTCATTATTTTCGAATAAACCCTGGCGTAAACCAGTATATACTAATATTTCTAAAGTCAATATTTCCGTTTTTAAAATATTTTAAACAATATTAATCACACGTTTAGATATTTGTACAGTGTGTCATCTCTAACGAAATGCGCAAATTTTCACCCACTTGCAACCATCTGATAAAAAAAGGTTTAAAACAGGAGTTGCAGAGTATGAAGCGTACAATAGATATCAGTAAAACAATTTCGAAAACAGTTTGTTTCATAGCGAAATCGAAGTTATCTTGGGTTTTACGAATAGGAACACATATTTTTTTATCGTATTGTAGAGGGTATCGAGCCGAATTTAAAATTCACGATTACACGATATTTTTACTAACATATTACTTGATTTACGGTAGTGGAAATGTGAAATATTTACCTTTTCATCGTATTTGACTTTAAGAAAGTGTCCTCGATGTCCTCCATAATATGGTAAAACAATATTTATTCCTATTTGTAAAACCCAAGGTAACTTCGATTTTGCCATGAAACAAACTGTTTTCGAAATTGTTTCACTGACATCTATTCTACACTCCATACCCTGCAACTCTTGTTCTAAACTTTTTGTTGTCAGATGGCTACAAGTGGGTGAAAAATCGTGCGTCGCGTTAGAGGTAACACCCTGTACATTTCTTTTATAACATTTGAAGGCGAGTGAACCATTATTCCTCCATGATGTTACAGGTGAATATCGATAAAAGTTTGTTTGGTCTAGATACAAGAAAAGTGTAAAGGATAAAGTACTAATAATCTGTATGACATTAATAATCAGTGCAATTTTATTTTTATATGGTTTTAGTTTAAACAATATTCGGAAACGTGCGTGCGCGCGCGCGCAATGCTTTCTGTCTATGCCTTCTTCGTAAACAAACCTTTACATAACAGGTTATCTGTGATCTTTTCCTGCTGCGCTCAAGTCTCAAGTGCACGCGTTTGACACTGCCGAGAGTTTGGATACGGTCGACCAGTTCTTTTTGATACCTTGAGACTCGAGGAGAAAGTGGTTGAGAAACAGGAATCGCATAACTTGCTCCCATTTACGATTATTCCCCCTTGCGATTGTCGTTCAAATTAAATACACTACTATGCAAAAGTATTACCCACTTTTCAATACCAAAAATATTACACATTTCTCAAAATCAAAATCTTACATCAAGACGTCAACGAAATAATGTTTCATTAAAATTATTATTTAAATAAAATTTCTATTATATACACGGGAAATACTTATAGTGGTCCCCCTAGTGGATGGGTCTATAGATTACATTTGATTGCCGTGCAGAATCTTATACCCCCTTAAATGGTGTCACAACAGCGTGTTACACTTTGCTTTGATCACTGCTTTAAAAAGTCACTGGCATTTGTTGAACTAGTTCTATTCGATAATGAAATAACGTTACATACGTGTATATAACTTTATCAGACTGTAAGTTATTTTACTAAGAATACATGTAATATTTGTGTTTCATTATAACCTCATGTGGAACGATACAACACTCACAATACGAACGATTATGACATTGTTATTTTCTAAAAGTCCAGAAAGACGTACAACCTCATTGTAATAATTACTAAAAAATTAACATACGTCTGTAACGTATTAATTGTGTGATGATTACAAACGATATCAAATAATAATTCAAAAGAAACCGGGGGTTGTTTATATCGCAATTCGACCTCTTCAATTTGTCCACAAGTTATTAAACTTGTACACTCATTAAACACTAAACGTAAATTATTAACCAAGAAAACAACAGTCGTGAAATGAAAGGAAGAATGAGGTAAGAAGCTAGAAACGATTCTCTTAAGAGAACTCACCTTATCTGACACGGGGGCGTGGATCGTTCCACAACGAAACCTCCCTCTTTCCCGATCTCTCGAGTTGCAAGACTCGTAACCTTTGGACTTCGCGAAAACGGAGTTCCGCACCCCCAAACATCGCCTCCGAGATGCTTTCCCACTACGACTCTCACACCTTCTCCCAACCCCTCTACTTCACACACGTTTTACACCCCTTTTCTTCCAATTTTCTTCTCCGTTATGTTTTCTCTTCTTTTGTTAATTTTTAACGGTAATTTTCTCGATAATGAACTCTTTCCTTTCGTAAAAAATAAATTTATAGATGAGCCATTGGAGAGGTTCTCGCTGTGACAGAAGGGTCGTCACTGCCATTGACGACGATCGTCAGGCGATTCTACGCGGCTGCGCGACTGGCAACCAACAGATGACGACACGCTCGTGAGGGTTGCTTTTCGAATACAGGCTGGCACTATTGTAGTCCATACTATTGTAGTCTATATATACTGTACTCAGGCGTGTGCGAGTCGCCTAGTGTATGTACCTACTTGTTCGGGCTGGGCCGGAAAAATTCGGGCGGGCTCGGGCGTGGCGTGCGATATTTGGTAACCCGGCACCATTGGGGCAGCCTGAGACCCGTTCGGGGCAGTGTAACCAGATTGGGGAAATTAACCCTTTGCGGGGTTAATTCTTAAATGATTTAATTACTCGAACAGCAAGAGGTCAGCACGTAGTTTCCCTATTTTCTATTAATTAAGCAATTGATATATAATTTATCTTTATCTGTTGAAGGTTTTGTACATTTCAAAGAATCTTCGTCCGCAAAGGGTTAAGCCCTTGCCGTACAGTGACGAGTGAGACTCGTGATGAAGATTTCTAGACCAATTTAACAATAATCAATGTTGTCCATTACCACGGATCAAAGCAAATAACTATTTTGCTATTATCAATTTATTATCTTCAAATGAAACTTGCACTTCAAAATTTTGATGCATTTCTTCCAAATTGTCGATAGTAAAATGTTACACGAGCTTAGTAGCGAAAGTAAATAGTACGCCAAGGGGTTAAGGGGAACACGGTTTCCCCTCTTCTTGGCGTTATCGTTGGGTTCTGCGGTGGGCCCACAAGGTTGTAGCGAGATGATAAGGGGGAGTGGGCAAAATGAAACCGTTTGGTTATTTTCTGGCTTCACTGGTTCGGAGTGCAGACAAACTATACGTCATCGACCAGTTGACGGTCGATGGCGTAGCTACTACAGTGGAAATAGTTGTTTGAGTTGTGATCTATGACGTCACCGTCAACTGGCCGATAACATAGTAGTCTGCCTATACGGCTACAGGTTCCTCGAATAGTCTCGGACTGGCCAAGCGTTGCAGGGCCACGGACAGTCGCACGAACCCGTTCGAATTTTTTAGGCTGTCGAACCCGAAATATCGGGTACCCGTACATCTGTAAATGTAGTCCATTCTTCAGTTATTTAGTGATGCAAAGAAACTGGAAATATATATACAGGGTGGTCGATTAATACTATCAGTATTAAATACTTTGTACTATCGGGCAAGGATGATGTAGTAATTAGCTTTTAAGTGCTGTACTGTGTTATTCAGGTAAGGACGTCACTTTGAGTTTCTTAAATGACAGCAGTCTTAAGTGAGAGTAATATATATCTCTAATTTTGTAATTAGAGAAAGCATTAGAAGCTCTAATATACGTTAAATGAGAAAGTCGAAGTATCTTTTAAATCATTTTTAATGTAATTGCTGCTAACTTCTAATGAAATACAAATTATGATAATTACTATATGTTTCAAAAGTTTTTTACTTGGTGCTCAATATTTTTTGGTGTTGTTGTGTAAAGTGTGGAATACGTCGTTAAAAAATTTTAGGTACATTTTCGTCTTCATAAAAAAGTAAAGTAACTAAAAAAGTAATGGTTACAATGTACGTCTTCCTCGATACTATAAAACTTTGATCAGAAACATGTTTTAAAATAACAAACATTTTTCAACTAATTTAGGATGGCAGAGTTAGATCACCTTATACAGGGTGTTTCTAAATGACAGCGTACAAATGATAGGATGTATACAACTCATTGAACTGAGTAAAATAAACCCAGTAAACATGGATCTAAAAGAAAATAGTTTCCGAGGCAAAATCAGGTTCACATTTTCAAACCGGAAATCCATCGTGTAGCAAACAAGGAATTTTGCGTTCCTCTACTCTCCCATGACGGTCACATTGTTCGTCGGCTACCATCACTCTGATATCTTGATAACGGCTTAAGCGAAAAATTTCATTTCTATGGTTTGGGAACGACTCAATGTGCGCTTGAAAAATATGGAATAGAAACTGTAGGGTTCTATTTAAGAATTGTGACGTGATCTTGGCAGTACGTTTCAAGGCCACGTGACGGTCAAATACCTCCTGCCGTGACATGTAGTATTTTATACTCTGTAACTCTTGTTTGACACATTTGTTCGTATCACCGATATTTTTCAAAATAATTCGGTGTTCTTAATTCGGTCCTCATACATTTCTTTTTAAACAAAATCTATTTTTATCTTGGAAACTATTCAGTTTCAGATGCATGTTAATTAGGGTTTTTTTTACTCAGTTTAGTGAGTTCTGTACGCTCTATCATTTGCGCCCTGTAATTTAGAAACACCCTGTATGCAGTATAACCTGTGGTAAGTATACGTAAACAAAAGTAATAATGTAGTATCTAGAATATTTAGGGTAGATTAAAATATTGTAGGATGAATGGTTTGTTGTGCGTGCGTGAGGGCGACCAGGTCGTATTGCGACGGACCGGCGCCGGGATGTTTGGAAAATAGTGTGACTGCGTTTAGACAATCTCGAGTGGCTGAAAGAATGCGAGGAAGAGTGTCTGGAACTGAGCGACTGAACCGTGAGAAAAGCGTGTACGTGGCTGCGTGAATTTTGATTATGGACGAAAGATGCGAGTGAGAAGGGTGCAAGGGTGAGAAAGACAGAGCGAATGGGGATGTGTGTTAAAAGCGAGTGGAAATGCGTGCATGAGGACATTTTGGTGAGCGACAGCGGAGAAGAACATTTTTGGTGCGAGAGTCGTGTGTTGTATTTTTACGTGTTGTCCGTATTGTTTTCTTTATCTTATTAAATATATATTGTTTTCCTAATTCTCTTTTTACTGAAGATCCACATTTTCAATATCATCTAATAGTAAACCACCACACTATAATAATTTTATACAAGAAAATTAAATTAAAATTCAGAATGAAATTTGATTATATTTGTATCGTAGAATTTTGTTTAACTGGATTCAAACTTTTAATTGAACGTACAGAATTTCGGTTTGTCGAAGTAATTTTTTTAGTTTGTAATATAAATCTTAATGGTAATGGAGTCTTTGCGTTGACAAATCAATTTAATGATATACTTCTCAACTAGATGGTGCTACTTATAGGAAAATACAAGGTAGAGATAGTTAAAGATTGAATGAAGCAACAGGTACATAACGATACTATTATACTATGTACATAGGTTATATTCACATCAAAGCAAAAATGTCATAAATACTTAAAAAAGCAATTATTACTTCGTTACCATTAATACTTAAATCGTTACATTAGTGCTACATTTAGTTTGTCATCTTTTTCAGTGAAAACAATTTCTATGCGACTCAATAATGCATTTTATATAATTTAAAATTTTAATTAAGTGAAACGTTTCGCGAGATTGTACCGAAAGAAATGCAATAGTATTTAACTAATAATTAAAAACAGACAAATGAGAAGAGGCGTTCGCATGTGCTATTCATTTGAAATCGTAATAACTCGAAGGGAAATAATCACTCAAGTCGTAACTGTTTAAAACGGAAATTCATAATTGAAGATGCTGGAACCACCTGTTCCGCAGATTTAATTACTGTTCTGTCTGCTTCTCTTTGCCGTAAGATGCATCTCAAGAGACATTAGAAATTTATCTCAAACGACGTTCGCTTTTCTTAATTGCATGCAAATTGCAGCAGCTTTTAAATATTCGCACGCCGTCGTGGAGTTTAACTCTCCGTTGAAACACTTTAATTCTTGATACGTACATTTAGATGAATAAATACTATTTGCGGCATCAGTATTCTCGTAATAATTTTATGGAAAGAAATTACATGTCCACTTTACTAATTTCTTCAGTAATTCATCACATAAAAGTATTGTTAGATTTACTAATACTAATCTGTTACGATGTTTAAATTAGAATTTTGGAGTTTATGATCAATAAACATCGTACGCAATATATAGAGCAATTACTGTGTAGCCAGAGGTTTTTGTTGTTTTTGTGTTACTTTTCAATGATGAGTTATTAATGTCTTCATTTATCTCTTGATTTAGTATTTGATGTAATTACTAAAACGAAACCGAACGTACAAACAGAAATACTTTCTTGACCCACTTCGTCTGTAGAAATGCAATTTCTTTTGGCTTACGTAAGAGGAAATATTCTGCTTAAGCGCATTATTAACGGGTTCTTAGAATGTTTAATCCTAGGACTCCTTTGACAATTGAACGGCAGATTTTGACTGTATTCAAATGGTAATATAAGTTTTATTATTTCGCACACCAGTTCAAGCTTCTTTATCGATTTTGTGCGTGATTCTATATAGAATGTCGTGCAACTGACGACGCAATGGAGAACAAGGTAATTCTATGTGAAAAAATAAGACGAAAATGTGAAAGAAAATAGCAATGTTATTGTATTTACATTTTGTTTGAAATTTCGTTTTTGAGAAAATTTAATCTGGAAATTTGTTAAGTAAGTTGTCTATGTATGTACCAATAACTAATCAGTTAAAGTTATATAAATACAGAAATGTAATATATAATTTAACTGGTCAGCTGTTGGTACATTCATCTTATACGTTTAGAAAATTACTAACAAAATATATTCTAAACTTATGTTTATATTTTAAATTTATGTTTTCATGCAGAATCTTTCACAGTTCCATTATTAATTACAGGACACCCTGTATTAGATTACTATGTAAATCCAGTCTGTTAGGGTATTGTACGTGTTTTACAAATTCGATTTGTGAAACCGGTTTACAAACATTTCAAATTCAATTTTTAAAACCAGTTTATGTACACTTCAAATTGCACACACTGTCAATCAAAAGTATGAGACAAATTCTATTTACTTGACCATGAAGGAAAATACTATTTTACAAAAGTTTAAGATAAACTCGTACACCAAAAGTAAAGCACAAATGGTTTATGCAACTAATTTCTCAATAAACTTGCGTACAAACACAAATTGTGTTTATACGAATGAATTTCAAAGTTACCCTTTTTCCATTTCTTATGAGAATTTTACCAGATAAGAAACCATTTTTTTTACACGAATTTTTGGAATATCAAATCTGTTATTTTATAATAATCTTTTTATGTAATACTTAATTTATACATATAATACAAACTGTTACATGACTAATATAATTTATACAAGACAAAAGTGGTTT